ACACACAAGAAACATACACACACACACACACAAAGACACATTCATGTGTTGTGCAATTTGGGCGCATGATGACACACACACATGCTTGGCGTGGAAAATCACAAAAACAAATTAGTTGCGTGTAATTTAATTTGAAATGCTCGCGCGTTTATCAAACAAAATGGAAAACTGTGAAATGGAGCAGCAGCAGCAGCAGCAGCAGCAAAGGCAACGGTGGCAGTTGCCACAGAAAGGGGAAGAAAATGCTAATTGGATTTTGTTTTAACATGCAAGGTAAAATCCTGGCTGCTCCTGCCAGCAAGCTGCCTCTCCTCTCACTCCTGTCGCTCCTTTGCCGTGTGCGTGAGTGCCTTTGATGGCCAAGTTAATAAACATTAAACGCAATTATGTTGTTGATTTTTTTGGTGCCGCATTTTTCCTTGAGACGTTCGCCTTTTACTTCTCGTCTCCGCTGACGTTGATGTTGATGTTGATGTGCCGAAGACTAGTTACATGTTATAATCTGTTCTTGATGGTCGAATCAGACGCCAGTCAAATTATATCAGCTGGAAGAAGCTGTTTTTGAAGCTGATAGAAAAGCGCTTCACGTTCAAGTTTAGGGCTACATAAAGAATTTATATGCTTTCTTTTATTTTCCCTTTTTCTTGAGGGTCGGTCTCTTTATCTCTCTTCATATCCATTTATTTTTCTGCTCCTCTTTCTTTCAATTTAACAATTATTCTCAGAGTGCCGCTTTCGCATCCTCTCTCTCTCTTTCTCTCTATTTCTCACTCTTTCATTCTCCTTATCTTTATCGATTTCTCTGTCTGCATAAACACATTATTTGGTTTCTTTTCTTATTCCTATTTGTTAAGGGTCGATCGCTCTCTCTTTCCTTCCACAGGCCTTTTTATCTTTTGTTCCTCGACCTCTCTCTCTCTCTCTTCTTCAATTCATTTTTGAATTTCCTATTTCCAAAGCTGATTCTTCTTTTCTGTCTCATTTTCTCTCTCTCTCTCTCTCGCTCTCTTTATCTCTCCCTCTCTCTCTTTCTTTATATTTTCCAATCCTTCTCACTGTCCCGTATTCCCAAAGCTACTTTTCTTTTGCTCTGCCTTTCTCTCTCTTTCTAAACTCTATAGCTTTTCTTTCTCCTCTATTCTATATCTCTATCCCTTTTTCTCTCTTTCCCTCTCTCCCTTTTCCTTTCTTTCTTCTTTTGCCTTTCCCCCTTTTCCCAAAAAAATAACCCTTTTCAAAGCTAAGTTTTCTCCCGCTTTCTTCCAACAGACTCAAAGTCATTTGATTTATCAATTTTGCTTCCTGCGACATTCTTAAACGTTTGCATTGAGCATGCTTTGCTGCAAAAACTGCAATGCGAACCGCTTTTATTTAAAATATTTCCCTTCTATTTGGAAATTAAATATGTAGACTAAAAGTTATTTTAACTCTTTAAAATTTGTTAAGCCTTAATTTGCAATAAATTGTTGAAGAAGATATAAATTTAATGTCTAGCTTAATATGCCAACGACTTTTGTTAATTTTTAGAATATTTGTTAAGAGTTTCCTGCGCTTGTCAAGAAAACTTTTGCCTTCAACGTTGAGCCGAGCTGCCTGTTAATCAATTTGATGGGCTGAACGAAAACCGAACCGAAATCCCGTGATGATTTATTTTTTAGATATATATATATATTTTTTTTGGGGGCATTATTCGCAAGTATTTTGTTGTTGGCACTCACACAGTTGGCTAATTAATAGGATTAACTACCAAAAAGCAAACACAATTGGCTGCTGAGCAAACAATAACACAAAGCACTCAACTTTTTTGTGGGCTAAAGGGAGACGGGTACAGGGAGCGGAGGCAAAGGCGATGCGGATCTCAGTTTTGTCAGGCCACTCACCAAGGGTGGCAAGTCCTTCAGCAAACATCATTACGCACACAGATACACACACCAACACACACACAGCACACATACAGAGTGAGAGCTGAGTTTCAGATGTCGGCACCTAACGCGCTTTAATGCAGGTGATTAATTGCTTTTGAGGTTCGTCGGCTGCGTGTTGGAAAATTTTCAAAATTTCATTAGCTATGTGTGTGAGTTGCTGTATTGGTGTGAGTGTGTGTGTGTGTGTGTGTATGTTTGTTGAACTTTTAGCCAAGTTTGCCAGAGAGGCCATCGGGCTTTGGTATGCTGTGAACACTGCGTGACTTTTGCAGACAATGCCAGCCCATTTCTAGTTGGCTTAGACGAGCTAATTAAGTTAAAGCTGCCGCCTGATTCTGCTCCTTTTCGCATATCCTGACAGTTGCGCACTCACCCCGCTCCCCCCTTGGTTCCATAACCATTCTGCTAATGATGGCAGCAGCAGCAGCTCCTGGCCCGCCCCCACAGAGAACGTGCTTTAAATTGTTTTTGATTTACTTATTTCCGCCCTGATAAATTACATTTGCCGCCAACGACAAAGTTCAGGCCGCCGTTTTTGGCTAATGCGCAAAGTTTTCGGCAACTTTGCTTGTAGTTTCCCATTTTTTATTTATTTTTATTTTTTTGGTATTTTTTTTTTGGCGGCTTGTCGGAAATGTTAAATAATTTATTCATATGTTACGTGGCTGACATATCGCACGTGGCGACATTTTGAGCCATTTTATTGTCTGCAGCCCGTTGCGCAGCTGAAATGCAAATTTAATTAGCTCTCGAGTCTATTAAAATGTCATTTACCATAAATACATATAAATCATAAAGCGACAAACGGACCAAAAGTGATTTAAAGCCAAGCTGAATTTGTGTATTTATTCAAGCAGTTGGCAGCGGGAAAAATTGTGTTTCTTGAGAAACTTGCTTGCAAAGTGGGGCAGCATAGTTGATACCCTGTACTGGTAGATTGTGGTAAATGGGGTGTGCACAAATTTAAATGACGTATGTAACGGGCAAAGGTAACTAGAGTTTGTTGTGCAATTAAATATGTAATATATATTAGGTCAATTTTCAATATGCATCGAAATACAAGTGCACTTTACTACACGATATTGTCCCATCAATACACACAAAAACTTGAACTGCAATTAATCAACAAGATTAGTTAAAAAGGATTGAAGTACCGTTCAGTCTCCCTCCTTTCAAACAAATGCCTTTTAATTCTCAACAATTTTAAGCTTTGAGCGTCGTTAATATTTAAAAAAGGGTCCATATTGTACTTAAGCAAGCCAAGATAAAAGCTCTTGTCAAACACATCTCAACATATCTTGTTAGCATATAGATACTAGCTCATATATATTGACATATATATATTTACAGGGTATTTGCTAGTCGCACACTTACGCTCACAGCATTCATTCTTGTTATAATTTGTTTGCTCCAGTTGCGCAAATAATTTTGAAGCAGCGACTACATTTTGTTTGCTGACCGGGAAATTGTTATTTTAAAAATGCAAAATGTTGACAAATGCGAAACTTTTAACTTACAGCTCAAATTAAAGTGCATTTCCTGGGCTATATACAAGCATAGCAATACGTAGGAAAATACAATGCACTACCGACTGTAACGGTATTTATTGAGGCTTTGATTGCAATAAGAAATTTGATAAAATATGATATTAGATAAATCTTAAAGCTGAAATTTTTCGAAATTTATCAAATTATAGAACTTTTCATATAAATACATATGTACATACAAAGAAGGTATAGCTAGACAATAAACTTATATGTTTTTCTTAAAGTCTTGTTATTGTGTTTATATATGCATATGTATGTATCTATGTACGCATGCAAAGTTCAAACATTATCCAACTGGACGAATGATTTAGCGAGTATACTTAGATTGGATAACTAGCGAGCGTCAATGATCGCATTATAAACTGGTAAAAGAATTATAAAGAGCGAGAGAGAGAGAGAGGTACGTTAAAACGTAAACATATTAGGAAACCGTTAACGTTATTACGATTAATCGTATCTTGTCCCACACACACACACACACCCAATTTTCTAGCTGACTCTCGCCCAATCAAACACATGCCGGCAAACGGCTGAGCGCGATAACAAATTACGCTCTCGATATGTTTGAATAAATGTGCCGCTAATTGCGTCAGTCACTGCTTATGTTTGATACATATTTGGCAGGGTCAGCGCCTAAGCGAATTCAGTGTACGGCGAGCAGCTAACGCGGCGAGTTGCAACGCGGGCAGCATACAACAACGACAAAGCGCGTGTGTATCGAACAGCACGAGTGAAGCAAACAAGGCGTGCAACAAGACGCAACACAAACAAAACAGCCTTCACGATGACGCCGCAACTTAAAATATTTGCTAACTATTAAATGTTTAAAAACAACAACAAAACTTAGCAGCTCTGTAACAGTTACGCAGCAAATGCAGCAGGTGTGTATATTGCAGCTGTATGTGCAGCAGTGCGCCTAAATATAGAAACAAATTTCTGATAAATATCAAGGCTGCAAATCGAAATAAAATAAATGGATCCCTTAATGATAGAATACGAAAAATGATCTTATATTTGGATTTGGCGCTTGTATGTAAGTATACATATATAGACACGAGCTACGCATATGTGTCAGTGTATATGTATAATGTGTGAGAGCAGGGCAGAAGCATGTCAACATATGTATGCAAACTTAGTCAACGAAAACAATTGAAACTCAATGATAATATAATATACTTTACCTTATGAGTTCAGATCGTACTATTATATCATACAACTTCCACAACTTCCATTTCTTGTGTTAAGTTCATTAGAAACATCTTAAGTTCCTCTATGATCCACACACATATATGTGCAAGATCTTATCATCATCCCCTACATTATTTAGATGCCAAAAAACGAAGTTTTTTGTATGCCTTGTTATTAATTTATAATCATTAATTTTTTATAAAGCGTCGCTACTCCGCAGCAGCAAATCCCACTAAAGCGGCGCCAGCAAAGCCGCTGAAGGAGATGCCGAGCGTTGATTTTGGGCTTTTTGCCAGGTGGCAAGTTCAAAGGTGCAAATCTCAATGATATAACGAATGCCATGCTGCAGGACGGTGACGGCAATATTGTAATGCTCAAAAGTATATTCGGCAAGCCGCCGCTTATAATAACACAAAATCCCGATGATTTCGAGACGGTGTATCGTCACGATGGTATTTGGCCCTATCGCAAGGGTTTCGAACTCCTAAACTATCATCGCAATGTGCATCGTGTTGATTACTTTGGCGTGGAGTCGGGTCTGGTTACGTCGCAGGATAAGGCCTGGGGCAATATGTGTTCGGCCGTAAATCCAATTATAATACAACCCAAGAATGTCAAATTGTATTTGGGCGCGTTGGATAGCATTAACCAACAGTTTTTAAAGCGGTAAGTAAAACGGTAATCGATAAACGAAGATCGGTCGGTCGATGAAATCGATTATAATATAAATCACTAAGCGATTAACCGATACGCGACAAATCAATAAAAGAAACATCGATAAACGATAAGTGGATAGATAACAAATCGGTAAGCGATAAATCGATAAAAGATAAATCGATCAATAATAAATCCATAAATTAAATTAAATACATCGATAAGCCTATTAACGATTGAAGTCATCCTGCGTTTAACCTAAACATTTTTGTTGCAGCATAAAACTTATACGCGATCCTGAAACTTTGGAGATGCCCGCTAATTTTAAAGATGAGATCAGCGCCTGGACACTGGAGTCTCTCGGCCGTGTTGCACTGGATCGTCAACTGGGTCTTATAGACAACACCAATGCCGAAGGGCGTTGATTCTTTACGCTGTTGCAACGTTTCATGGAACTGTCTGTCGATTTGGAAGTAAAGCCCTCACTTTGGCGTCAGTTCAAGACACCCAAATTGCGTGATGTCCTCAGCGTATTGGACGAAGGTCTCGAGATAACAGACAAATTCGTGCAGGAGGCGATGGAACGCATTGAGAAATCGACTGAGGAAAAACTGGAAAAACTGTTGGCTATTAATCGCAAATATGCGGTTGTTATGGCGCTGGACATGATGTTCGGCGGTGTCGATACGGTGCGTAAAACAGCTTCTAAATAAACTAACTCAGCCAGAGTAAGATTTCTCTAATTTATAGACAACCAGCACCTTTGCGGCTATGGTACTGGCGCTCGCCCAGCATCCCGATAAGCAGGAAAAACTACGCACAGAAATTCTTGGAATTTTGCCAGAGAAGGATACGCCCCTTACGGTTGAGTCCATGAAGAATTTGCCCTATTTGCTCTTTTATCCACTGACTTCGGCCAATGTGCGCAGCACGAGGCAGGAACTGGTGCTCAGCAGTTACACAGTGCCACCGGGCAGTGAAATTGCCATGGTCCATTTGAATCTGTGGCGCGATGAGCAGCATTTCTCGCAGCCGGACCAGTTCATACCCGAGCGTTGGCTGCGTCAAAAGCAACACGACTCCAGTGGCTCCAATGGCCGTCCCATGGCCACCAAGTCCAGTCATCCCTTTGCCTATTTGCCATTTGGCTTTGGCTCCCGCAGCTGCATAGGTCGTCGCATTGCCGAAATGGAGCTGGAAGTGGGTGTCTCTCGTTTGCTTAGAAACTTTCAAGTAGAATTCCATCATCCGGCCGACAAGCCCTTCATTGCCTATCAGCTGTCCATGCCAAGCATTCCGCTGCAGTTCAAGTTTATCGATTTAAAGGACTGATCCTGACTTAAGTATTGCTCTTATATAAACCTGAAGATGTCGGAACGTGGTACGCAGTAGGGAATATAATAAAAAACTGTTTTTCTGGCTATTTCCGCATTTTTACATAAGAAGACTTTAAACATATTTTACTTTAATTTAAATACAAAAAAACTTTGTCAGAATGCTTAAAAAATTATATATTTGCACTTGATTCCATTTCTATTCAAATGAAATATATGAAAAGAAATTTAAAGTGCACTGTGCACAAGGTTAAAAATTTAGTTATGGCATAAATTAGACATACTCAGACTCAGATTCAGTATAATTTAATTATTTATTATAACTAAGTTACTAAGAGAGTGTATTACATAAAAGTATAGCAACGCCCAAACAGCAACAATTTTATTAAATATTAGAACAATTTCCAATATTAATAGTTAACATTCTTGGTATGCAACAAAATATTTATTTTGAGCATCTAATTTAAATCATAAGAAAAATATATTTAGAATGTTAACAGCATAATCTCTAGAGTCCTGGAGGCCCGAATCCACAGCACATTTGCGACATTCTAACATTATAATTGTTAACTTATTCAAAGTATTCATATTTTGAAGAGGCCCATAAATCTAACATACTTTAGCTTCTATCTAAATTAAAATAATATTCACATAGTCAACTATGTCTGCTTTTTTTTGCTTTTCAGCTACAATTTAATAAGCCACGCACACACACACTCACACACAGAAAGCCTTTATTCTGCTTAATTCATGCGTTTGCCCTTTGTCTGACTTGTGCCTGGGGTCAACGTAATTATAACTTTATGAGCTGCAAAGTTAGTTACATGCCCCAAAGGTGTTGCGAAATGCTCTAAAAAGTATGCAACACTTTCTTTCTATGCCAGGCATGTGCATATTTGTTTGAGATGGTGTGTGTGTGTGTGAGCTGACTCTTTGTTGCGGTCAGATAGCCACAGAGCAGCGGGCGGCGCATCTGCTGCATGGCGCTGCCTTATGTATATATTTATATAGCATATGGAGCGAATGGCAGGGGCGTGACAGTGTGTGTGTGCGTGTGTTTGTGTGAGTTTGTGTATGACTTCGTTCAAACGACAACATAAATGCAGCGCTGCTGTTGTCTTCCTGGATATTGTTTATTATACACACGCCCAGACACAACACACACACACACGCGCAAATACACACACAGAGACTGCGTGGCAGCATATGCGGGCGCAAATAGCGCATACGCCATGTGGCAGCACTATATAAATATAAATATAAATATTTTAATGCAGAAATGCAACATCAGCAGCAGCATCAGCAATTAGTTGAGCTTTTGCCGCATTGTTAGCATGTCTTCAGCTTTAAATTCAATTCAATTATTCGCACACAAAACTCACTTTAAGTTTATCGATTTGTAAGTTTATTGCTTTAAATATCGTTTTGATAAATCGTTGCGACTAGTCAAATAATTAGAAAAGCGCAAGACTAAAGTGCTTGACTAGCAAATACCCTGTAAATAGCTCTAGAGTAGTCCAAAATATATTCACACATTATAAGGATAAAGTTTTTACATGTACTTCTTTTTGTAATAAAGAAAATCTATTCTATCTATGCTTCTTATTTTTTGGAAATTTTCAAATGTAGATTTTAATTAACTTTCACTTAAATTAAGGAACAACCTTTTGAAGTTAATTATAATATTATATATGTGTATTTGCAATAATGCAATTCATATCCAACAGGTGAAAGGATCTACAGAAGTAATCCTTCTCTGTGCTCTCTTCCTAGAGCTATATTCAAGCAAGCTCAATAAGTGTTCGATAATACCTTTATCGTTATTTTAGTTGTACTTAGCCTTAAAAGAAAATCGAACATTTAATGATATTTTCAACCAAATCCATTAAACACTTCTCGACCCATTTTTATTTTTTTGATAACAGGGTATAAAACTCAAACATAAAATCAAAATTTCTATATGTGCGCGGCTAAAATGGAAACGTCACGTTTGGCCCATTTAAAGCGCCAAATGGCAGTCGAAAAAAATAAAAATTCAATTTGGCACACAAAATAAACTCAAACAGAACAGCAGAAAGCAGAAAGTGAAAGCGCGGCTGCTGCAACTTCAGTTTGTGCGCTGTTTGCACACATGTCGTATGCGTAATTTCAAATTAATTGATTTCTAGAGCAATTGCTTTTTGCGCTGCTGCTTAACAAACTTTTGCCAAAGCTTTTAAGGCAACAAGCACGCAATTTCTTCTCCTTTTTAGTCATTTTAACTGGCAGAGGGTATAGATATTAAGTCAGGAATTTCGTTACAGCTAGCAGAGCGCTGGGTTAAAGACTATAAATAACTGATCTGCTTTAATAGGTATGTCCATGTGAAGTCTACTCACTAGTTTTTGAACGGATTCATATAAAATTATGTTTTGTGAGATTATCATTAGTTAATAACATCATTGCAGATGTTGTACGACGTTAGTTGGAGTAAGATTTTTAATAATATTATATAGATATTTTGTTATCAAATTCGTCAATAAATGTGAGCAGACTCTTATTCACGAGTGTTTCTTTGAGTCTGATATATAAAATTTATTATCTCTATATAAAAAACTGTTTGTCGTGAGTGACTGACTGACTGATTGACTGATTGACTGACTGATTGACTGACTGATTGACTGACTGATTGACTGACTGACTGCCTGACTGTATGAAACTTTTTTGTTTACCAACCGATCGGCCTCAAATGCATTTTCAAAGATCTTTTTACAAATTCATTTGAGGGGTATCTCACTTTTTTTTTTAAAATCAATCCCTTCTTGGTGAAAATGTGGCTCAAAGATGTGGTGGGCGATGTTTCGCGTTCAAATTCAAATGAAAACGTATTTCAGTAATTTTGAAACAAATTTGCGACTGCTTTGTTAACCATCGAATCGGCTTCAAACTCATTTTCAAAGATTTTTGTGAGAATTTATGTGATACGCTTTTTGTTAAGGAAAATGCGGGTCGATGCTTGATCGGCTTCCAGATCTTCAGATTCCATATTCTCATCACCAGACTAACATGGGTGGAAAACGTTGATTACAACATTTTGTTCTTTCTTCGATGAACTTTAAACATCTTTTAAAATAGACGTGGAATTTAAGATCGTATAGTAGAACTAAATTTTTGACGATCAAAATTTGCCACGGGCAAGTCCAGGGAATACCCGCTAGTGTTATATAAAAAGAAATCTTATACAAATTCAATGAATCTCATAAATAACAAGTTTCTAAATGCTTTTTAATTAAATCGAAACACCAAACAGCTTGGTTATGATTATTTAAAAGAAATATCCATAATACAAACCAAAATCAGAGCTAATCAACATATCAGTATAACCTTTGGCTTTATTCAATCAAGGATGGAATTTACTTGAAGAGGTTTAGTTATAACAACTGGAAGATTGGCTTTATATAAGAAAGGTTTATATTTGTAGGAGCATTTAAGGTTCGGCTAAGCAAAAAAAAATGGTTGCTGCTGCTTAATTTTTATTCACGTTTTTGCTCTCAGCTTAACTTTGACTGCGATTTGCTAAAGTGGTTTTTGAAAAATCCACGTTTACGTTAACCATTTTTTTTTCTTGTTCGTTTCCTCATTTGCCTTTTTGCAAATAAATGAGCAGCGTTCAACGCTGTGCTGATTAATGCAACTTGAGTGCCAGTTCAAGTATAAGTATGAATGTGAGTGTGAGTGCGAGTGTGTGATTGTGAGTGTGAATGTGAGTGCTGGGTTTCATGTACAGTACAATTAATCAAACCGCGATTGAGTTTTACCCTCACGGCGGCAGCTTTGAAATTAATTTTCAGCTGCTTTTCAGTATAAATTAAAAGTAGAGACAGAGAGAGAGAGAGAGAGAGAGAGAGAGAGAGAGTGAAAAAGAGATAGAGCAATAAGGCAGCTGTCAAAATGTAGCTCAATGAATCCATCTATCGATAACTTAATCTCAATCTTGATTTTTTGGCATTTAACAAACTTAAAACAGATTGCCAAGTCTGGTCCCTTGGCTAAATTTAATAAACTAAAACCATTTGCAGTTCACTGAACTGACAGTAAATAAATTTAACCTAATTCGTACATGTCAATAACAACAGGAACCAAGACAAGACAAGCTGCCGTTGGCCTGCCCTCTTTCTACTGCTTTTTTTCGTCCAGCTTCAAAAAAAACTGGCTGAGTAGCACTAACACACACACATACACTCTCACACACTCTCACACACACACAGATAGATAGATGCTGAACAAACGTGCGGAGATTTTTACACAATGGGTATAAAGTTTAAAAATTCTTCAAGAATTTTTGGTTTAGCTCACTCTTTCTTAATCAGAAAAGCCACGCCCAGTTTTAAAAAGCTTTGGTAAGTAATGAAAGCTCTGTCATACGCATTAGGTGATTTTAAAGCTCATTAAAGTTTTTTCAATAGGTCTTATGAGGCTCAAAAACTTATCAAAGATACACAAATAACGCATAAGGCAAGAGCGAAGCTACATGTTGTTAAAAAAATAAATAAGTTTAAAAAAGCACATTATCTTTGCTGAATTAAAGCTTTCAGTAAGATGCAATCTTATGCATTGATGAAATAAATGGCGGATTATTTCCCAAAGTTGCAAACTCCGATAAGCATTAACACTATTTCTTAAGTATAAAGAGCATTAAAAGCACCTCAAAGCTTTCTGGTATGCAAAAATAACATTAAAAGCATATTAAATCTTTAACGGAATCCAAGAGCATAGGCGGCATGCACTAGCATAAAGAGCATTAAAGAGTATATAGAGCTTTAAAAGCACATCAAAGATTTCTGGAATGAAGAAATCCTAAAAACCATATCAAAGCTTTTACACATATCAAAAGCATTGACAAAACGCGCTGACACTGAACTTAAAGCTAAGCTTCTTACTTTCTTGTAAGGTAAGTAGTTAAGCCATTTTTAAGAATTAAGAACAAAAAATATGCGTGTTTTAAAATTGTAATATACA